AACCAAAGTCTCCAGTTCATAGTTCATATGAAAGCTCAGATAACGCTTGAGAGATCCACTGGAGGTCTAAAAGGTAATGGAACAAATTAGTAAAATTACTAATTAAAGGTCTGATGGAACAGGAAAGGACTCAAGGACCCACACACTTTAGACAGCCCAGTGGGTAGCAGCTTTTTATTATGACAGGTGAAATGGCCTGATGCGAAATATAAAATTAAATAGGAATACGACTATCCTCAACGAAGGCCGATCTATTTTTCTTTCTCATAAGAGAAATAAGCAGGGATGAAGGACCAAGCTTTTCTCTGATGTCATGAGAGCAACCTGAAGGAGGCCCCTGCCACTGCTTGATTCTACAAGTGAGAATGCACCAGTCATGTACCATTTCTCAGAGTCTCAGCATGGGATGGCATGAAATGATCTGAAATATTGTTATACACTGGACTTAGGTGTGCAAGAAAGGGAACATAGTCTAAGCAGGAGCTTAGCCTTTTTCCCAAATCAGCTTTGTTTCAGTTTTTCGCTTATTACTGAGAGCCCGTACAAGGCCTGACACATGGGCCTGGTAAGCTTTGATGGTACAAAGAGTCTGGAGCTCCTGCACCTTGCTTGGAATATGGAAGAGAGAAAATCTGCTCTTCGCTCTAGTTCAACCACAAAATGTTTCTAGTTAAAATTGGGCATTTAAGTTTTTCTTATTGTATAAGATGGCAGGTGGAAAAGCCGAGAAGCTGGCTACTAAGAAGAAACCTGAAGCCAAGAAGGCTGATGTCAGTGGCAATGTTAAAAAGGTGACCACCAAGGCTAAAAAGCTCAAGAAGGGAAGCCCCATTGCAGCTGAAACCCAGCCCTAGTCCAGGGAATTGGCAGATACTCCCAATCTGTCATGTATTCCAGGAAGGCCACATACAAGAGGAAATACTTGGCCACTAAATTCAGGATTGCAAAGAAGGTTCTTGCCACTGTCACAAAACCAGTTGGTGGGGACAAGAATGGTGGTACCTGGGTGGTTTAACTTCTTAAAATGCCCAGGTATTATCCCATTGAAGATGTGCCTCAAAAGCTGTTGAGCTATGACAAAAAAAATGTTCAGTCAGCATGTGAGAAAGCTGCGAGCCAGCATCACTCCTGGGACCATTCTGATCATCCTCACTGGACACCACAGGGCAAGAGAGTGGTTTTCCTGAAGCAGCTGAGCAGTGGCTTGCTACTTGTAACTAGACCGCTGGTTCTCAATCGAGTTCCACTGCGTAGAACACACCAGAAGTTTGTCATTACCACCTCCACAAAAATTGATATTAGCAAAATAAAAATTACCAAATACCTCACTGATGCTTACTTCAAGAAAAAGAAGCTGTGGAAGCCCAGATACCAGGAAGGTGAGATCTTCGCCACAGAGAAGGAGAAATACGAGATTTCAGAGCAGCACAAGGTTGATCAGAAAGCTATGGCTCGCAAATTTTACCAAAAATCTAAGCTGCTCAACTCCAGGGCTACCTGTAATCTGTGTCTGCCCTTTACAAATGGAGTTTATCCTCACAAATTGGTGTCTAAATTTCTAACCAAGAGCCTAATTAAATAACTGATTTCATACACACATACGCATATTTGAGTTTCAAACCAAAATAAAACTTCAGATTAATATAGAATGCTACATTCTATATCCACACTCAGTATGTTGAATGAACACATGGCCAATAGAGATACATATAATCAGCAATGGTCATATATATTCATGCATCTGAAAAGAATTCTCTTTTCACAGGACCACTGTCAAGTACCATACTGGAAACATGCTCCTTTGTCACCTTAGGCAGTATTTTCCACAGGATTTCAACCTATAGCTTTATTTTTGTTCTCAAGATAGTAATGTGGCTTATCCACAAGTTCCACATCACGTAAACCCTTGCTTTTCTTACAATTCTCTTTGCAGCTAGTGTGCTGAAATGAAGGAAAAGCTCATTATTGGGTCCTTCAGATCTGAAGGAGCTGCTTCCTATTTGCTTCAGTGTTGCCCAGAGAGCTAGTGGAATTCATATCAGATACCACAAGATGACCCTCCCCTCTGGCCTCCACGATTCCATCAAGCATGAACTTATATCTGGTATCTGTAGAAGGTTCCAGTGACTGGTCATGAACCACTTCACCTCTAGGACTTCTCTGGACATAGGGCTAGATGTCAAGAACCACTCTCCTCAGGGGAACTGAGACTCAGGGCAATTTGCTTTTGACAGTTCATTACTGCATGGACTTGGGAGTATAGCTGGGAGATTTCCTGAGTGCATGGGAAGTCACACATTTTTATCCCCCAATTTGGTACTTGAAATATTTTCTTTTCTCTCTCTCTCTTTTCCTTCTCTCTCTCTCTCTTTTTTTTTTAATTTGCCAGAAGGCACATACATTACCAGAGAAACAGAGCCATTTAAATAGAGGGACAGCACATGAGAAAACACTCCCATGGGGCACAGTCACAATGCAATCCCTTCTCCTCCATTTCTCCCTCCTTTTGGGATTTTGGGCATGAATGCACATTGGCATGTTCTTCCAAGCTGCCAGGTTCAGGACTTGAACTATGTGGTCAGCTATGTTGGATCCAACTGCTTTAACTACCAGGCCACAGGCTGGCCCAAAATATTCTTTCTAGACAACTGGTTTGTATAATCTAAAAAAAGACTGTATAGATCTATCCTTTTGTTATATGGAAAACAGATTTTTGTTGTTGTTGTTTGTTTTAAATACAAGGTCTTCAAAGAGATCTTTCCATTGTGACTTTTCAACAAATTGCACACAGAAAGTAGAGCAAGAGCCACAGTCCTGAGCCCTTCACACAAGACCAGTGAAGAAGGCATGGGAGCATGCATGCAGAGTAGCAATTTGTTTTCACACTAATTTAAGGAAAATATAAAAACCACTTCTTTCTTAAGGTACATTAAATTAAGTCTTATGTTTTAGCTAACTACAGTTATTTTAGCTGCTAGAATACAGACTCCTTTAAGGTATAGATTATATAGATTCATTTGTTTTGGGCCCTCACAAGATGATGGACATTAAAATACTTTACGAAGAAAAAAGTGAAGGAGGGACGAAAACAGCTTTGAAAGCAGCATGAAATAAAATGCAATGGATGGAGGGCTTTCCACTCCAGGAAGGTCGAGTAAACACTTTACTTTATTTCTCCTGAGAACAGCTAAACACCCTAGACATTCTACATAAAATCAGCAGAAGAAACTGGAAAGGTTCAGAGAAGATGGCAGACTAGTTAGCAGCCTTGAGACCCTCATTAATGACATGCGAGTGCGTTCTTTGGTTTTGTGGCTATTTGCCTCCTATGTCCAGGACTTAGAGACAAAGAATCCAGCAACTCAGAACTTTTAACAGGCACAGACAAAATGAGGCCAACATAAACCTAGTTGCTTGCTTTCTTGGCCAGGGAGACATTAAGTAGGCTAGCAAGGTAAAATATAT